CTAATTGCCGGTCTTCCGTCTTGTCACCTACGGTATTATATTATTAATACACAGCATTAGGGTCAACGAATGAAAAATAGCAATATGGAAAATCGGTAAACGGTAAAAAAAAGTCCGAGAACAAAAGCAAGTCGAATGCACGCCGGATGTAATTGTATCGTACATAAAATTGTAAATTATCTAAACAAAATTTAGATATTACCACTAACTCTGGTCAAAAACTGTGGTTATTATTGAACAGGTCATCTTTGTTCGTTTTATCGCAGTGAAGTCTGTACGCCGTGTATTTATAATTGAATTACCTATCCAATAGATTTCAAAAAACTACAAGTAGAAAAAAATATTATTGATTGCACTAACATTTACGAATTGTTTCATTATTATTATTTATATTTTATCTTTAAATAATACGAGTGTACTTATATTTTATCCGATTTTTTTTTTAAACTAAAATATTTGTCCGAAATTCTAAAAATCCGCACGTCCGCATGACTCAGTCGAATAATTATTACACTCTTGTCGTATTACCGCGGCTTTCGTGCTCCAGCATAACTGAACCTTCACATACTTCACTTACTTACTTGCTCGTCCAATATGGCGCGTTCTGTACCTATAGTTATAGGACTTCATTTGAAGATACATTAGTTAGTATTTATCTAATAGAGCACATTGCGTCACATTTACAAAATTATAAAAACTAATTATACTTCAAGCATAACTAGTTCTACTTTACACCAATATAATTAATTTGGTCTACTATTCTATCACCTGTCGTGATAACTCAAAAGTGTTGACTTTAAATTAAGTTTTTTGATAAAAATCGTCCATAACATGTGTCTATAAAAACTAGGGAGTGTTCTTACAAAAGCATGACCCGATCGTGGGTGCTAACTAACTAACTCAACATCGACCGGACGGCTGACCTTCACTATTATATTTTCCCACACGTGTCCAATGTTTCTCCATCGATACAGTAATATAGTATTATGTCATGAACGCGCACAGTGGTACTGCAGCAGTGTTTTTCTGTCACGATCGGTTAATGAAAAATTAATAACCATCGAGTGCACGACGTGTGAGTGGGTGAACTTTGTAACCGCTGTGTATACATGGTGGACTAACATGCAGTGTGTTTATGCTCCTTAAACGACGTGACCGACTCGTTAATATTTTTCGGGTCACACAAGGATATCGTCTTATAAATCTCTATAGCTTGTATATGTGTACAAATTACAAACTATAATGGTATACCATTTTTTTTTTCATTTTTAGGTTGGCACGCTGAGTCTTCTTGGACGTTGAGTCCATATTCAACGGGTTGGACGCGGTCCCGTTTTTATTTGGCAATAATTATACGATTTGACCATGGACGGAATTTGTAGAACGCTTAAGAGCGGGTTTATACGTCTTGAGCCTTCTCGAAACACTGTAGATGCATGTGTAGTTAATATTCGTATTTTATTAAAGGTAGATAAAAGGTATTGTGTAGTAAAGTGGCCGAGGTTTTATCGTATCTCTCCTCATGAATTTTCAATTAATATCCGCCCATGGCTTCGATACCGTGAATAAAATAACGCAGACGATATAGTTTATGCTCCAAAGGAAGCCAGAAGGTAAATCCTTGTTGGAAACCTTCACGGAAATCTGCCATGTAGAAATTTGCTGCCAAAGGTTTTGTCCTCCTAAGAGGAAACACGCACACTTTTATGACCTTATGTACTAACAACTCGCAAATAGCCGCTATCATCTATTGACATTTGGGTCGTTAACTGTAAAAGTGGTGTAACTCTAAATTTTTCAAATATACATATCTTTGCTTAATCGAGTCACGTTTAGTCTTATATTTCATTATAAAAGAAAAGCAACTCCAATAAATGCAAAAAAAAAATATAAAACACTGAATGAATACTTGTATTCACATTATTTCACAAAAAGCTCGTTATTTCAAAATTCATTATCAAGGAGATAATTCACTTTTACAATCAATGACACATTTGTTAAAAAAAAAAAAAAAAGCAAATGCATTTTAGTATTATCCTTAAACAGTTGTGTTGTGTTGAAGAGATTTTCTGTGGCCCGCGGGGGCGTCTTGCTGGTCAATAACGCTACAAAATGGTACATCCGTGGGTTTTGTGAAAACTCTGTGAGGTGTTTTTGTTTTGTATACCTACCTGTACATTAATTTGCGGCTGCTATAAGGAAGCATCGATACGAAATCTCAAGACGATGGCAATTATTACGGCGATGGTTATTATTGTTGTTGTGCCTCCGCTGGGCAAATTCTAGTGTCGTTTTGCGGGATATCGTCAACAATGGACACAATGGAAATAGGCCAATTCTCTATATAATATAATATAATAACGTGCAGCTGAAAACGCGTCGGTCGTAACTAATGTCACCGCAGACGTGTTGCTCGTATCCTCGTATATTGTTTTACACGCCACTATAATATAATATACTAGCGGCGCAGAGAGTTGGATTTACAAAAATAAAACACAAACGCAATATCATACAAAATAGCACTGCGGTAAACGTTTCTACAGAAAAGCAGTATCCCATTAGGTTATTCGCAACAACAAATAATACACATCACAGATCTTCGGTTTACCTTTAGCGAATCCGTTTCCGCGAACGCCGGTACCGGCATACACAAAACCTGGTCAATACAAACTAACCGATCCCTTCGTTTTCTAATAAAAGTTGCATGAAAAATAGTGTGTAAAATTTATACAGTGTTTTGAAAGAGTATCCGCCATTGGTCCTATAAAAATTATGACGTGACAGCCGTGTCTGGGCTAACTTACTAATCTTACTCGGAGTTCTGTTCTCGAGATTATTTTTAAATAAATCCAAAATATAATGTCAGTCAAACGTTGTCGCGCGAACGTCTCGCATAATTACTTGGCTAGTTGCTAGTTCAATTACATTTTTGTACATTTATGTTGTATAATATGCCCAGTTTAACTGTCCGCTGAGATGTGACTAACCGTTAGCGCTTAAATGCGAAACACTATCTTTAAGATGGAAGTACAATTGTTGATCATCCCAGACGTGGTAGCGAAGAGCAGAATACCTAAATTATAACCGGGTAGACAACAAAATAGATAAAAAAAAACATTTAAAAGAATAAACTATAATATTATGGTTAATATAAAGACACAGTAAATATATTATAGTTAAAATAACTAAATGAATAATTAGGTCATCTAAATGTTTAGTTAAAGCGATTATACATTTATCAAAAGGTTAGAAAAGAAATATATACCAAATTTGTAACTCATTTAACGGGTCTACACATTTTTACCTTACTTTTTTTAAACGATTGTTGATTGAATAATTAGCAATTTACTTTTAAGCTGGCTTCATAATTCTTTACTTTTTTTTTAAAAATCACTCGAAGGAATTTTTATTTAGTTTTTGTACTTCGTATAATAGGAATGTTTTATTACTAATCAAACAAACATACATTGAAAGTGAACCAGAAAAAGTTTTTTTTTCATTGAACCTATCCACCGATTTCATACCCTATTAACTACCATTTATTAAATTTCACCAAATTTAATTTATCTAGTTCTTGTCATACGTCTGATGCAAGTAAAAACGTCTACTTCATTAGTACTTACATTTTTAAACATTGCTCTTAGAAAAGAGATCGTTGTTCCTTTGAACGCTGTGTAAACCTGTATTTGTTTTGTATGCATTACATATGCATAGAAATGTTTTGATACGAATACACGGATCGTTTTACATAACAACATGTGTAAAGGATGGAATGGCGTTATCGTTTGAAAAACATTAGATCCGTCTAATTTTCGGCGGTATTGGTACCAGTCCTCGAGTTGAAAACTAGTGTCATTGATGATATAATAATAAAAACCACAATCGATGTGCTAACACGAAGGGTAAGTTACTTAAGCGTACATATTATAGGTATATGATTATATATTTTTTTTTTATACACCGTTTCTTGTATATTACGACATTATGGATGTACAATAATAATGATTTTCGGTAATGTTCGTTGAAAATAAATATTAAAACGCTATATTGTAGCGCACGCGACGATAATTGTCACAATACTATACCGTCACGTGCGCTAAGTGCGCTGGGATATACATACACTGTTGAATAACAATAACGCGCAATGTCGTATGCGGTTGCGAAGGTATATCTCGTCGAGTATAGCGGGCTTGTTATATTAATATGCCATGAATTTTTTATTATAATCATCATCTAACGGCCGGTCGGTTAGCGCGGTGACTGACAAATTGACGGAATCGAAAGGGGCGAATAATAATAAAAAACAGCACACAATATAATACCGTCCGAGGGTGAACAAATTATGTGGCACAGTTAGCCGGAGCTAATCAATTATGGCAATTGCGTTGTAGGCGGGTAATTATTTATTATTTACACGCAAATTGGTCGCCACGATTACCATCATTACCGTTATTGTTGTTGTTATTATTTTTGACGAGTGCCGGTTTGTGTTGTGTACGACTGTTATAATGCAATCGGCGGGGGAGGCGGTGACACTTGACGCCCTCTGACCTCGCGCCCACGACAGTCATATTATATTAATATAATATTAATACAACGAAGAGCGCACACGACATATATTATGCTCTATTATTGGGTTTATATTTTGAAACTAATCGAATACACCTAATTTGTCTGTACTTTTTTTTTTTTGTGTCCAGGCCGTCCATCGGAGTTGATTTTGTTTATTTGTCAATCGCCAAGTAGACAAATTGCGTGCAAAGCAATAATGTCCCACAAACTCATCCGTGCGTCCGAGACAGACGTTTCCGTCAAATGTCAATTAAATTTCTTTTTTTTTTTGTTCATCAGTAAATATAATGTTTTTTTATTCTATATTTCGAAGGGATATCGTGTAGGTAGGACAAATAAATACAAATAATAAACGTTAATTTGATGAGATAATGACAACAGAGTTATATATATTTATTTTTTTTATATATATATACAACAGACAGGTTTTGATGATCATAGGGAACATAGATATACAATAACAACAAAAAAAAAAGAAGGAAAAATTAATTTCAACTTTGGGACAATAGTAAAAACAATAACATTTTTTGCCGTAAATCTAAAAAAAAATGTACATTTTCCGTTTACATACATTTGGCGGACGAATACAAAGAAACACTTTTTATGCAAGTATACACATTTTATACATATAAAATAGAGTAGTAATAACATATTACGGTATGACAAATACATATATAATTTTGGGAATTATCATTTGTTTCATTACAATTTTTACACGTGGGACGAAATATGAATTTTTTTTTTCACGAATATTTTATAAAAAATTCCCGGATGTAGTATTCAAAGTTATATAATATATACATAAACTATGTAAAGTGTAATTTTTACTATAGTTTATAATTCTTTTACGCTGGTATTACAATAAAAAGCTATACTCGTCACTTATCGAGATCTAATACAAACGAAATCGAGTACCGTTTCCAATATTATTATTTTTTCGATTTGTCGATCGATTCAGTGATTCCTGGTGTATATTTTTTTATTTATACAATTTTTATACACAGACCAGAAAGCAAGTGGTTTGTAAAAAAAGTTTTATAGTGTATTATATTATATATATATTTTTTTTTATAGTCTATCCTACACACAATCGTCAAGTAGGTATATTATTATTGATATAAATATATATATATATATAATTTATTTATTAATTATAACAATAAATTATTCATCGCTCAATTCGTACATAATATTATGTATGGTGCTCGTTCGTTTGTCTATGTGTTCTTGTGATGTATTCAATAACAAAATATAATGTTAAAATTAAAATTAAAATTGTCGATAACAATAATAATAATAATATTTAATAAAAAATATTACAGCTTTCGTGATGACGTTATGGCACGGTTTGTTTTTTTATTCTGACAATTAGTACTATTACATTGTTATCGTTGTGCGATTTACCTCTAGGCCGGCAGGCAATGACTTAACATAGTGTGTTTTTTAATAATAATCACATGGTTCTGTGACGAGAATTTTACCGGCAAATTTGAAATCATAACGTTGGCAATAATTATTGTGCGGGCGGACAATAATTGACTATAGATTATTTTGCTATCACCAGACCAAGCCTTCGCTCTGCAAGTTTGGTGCATCCGAAAAACCGCTACTGCTTCCACCTATAAACAAAACAAACGAAGAAGTTATGAAAAAGGCCTCGAATCGGTTCTTCTAGATCACAAAATTGAGGTCGGCCTAATACCACACTCGTCTTATACTATCTACTACATCATGGCAGAAGCAACACTATATTTTTCTCACATTTTCACCGAATTGAACTAGCAGCACTGTTTTAAATTTCGCGAGGAATCTACTGATTAATGAAAATTCGCTAATCAGATGTAATTAATAACATGTCTAATAATAATGTTATTGAATATTAATTAAATCTCTTTTTTATGTTCTCTTGTAAAGTTGGAATAAAATGAGATGGGCGGTTTTGCTTTTTATGCGATTGATTTTATTTTGATCGATTTGCTACTAAACACAAGTACTCGTCTTTCTGTAAAAAAAAACTTTAAAAATGTCGCTACTCAATCGCCCATATAAACTAATTAATATAATCGTTATAGGATCTATAAACATTTTATTTTTGTTGTTAAATACTCGCCTTGAGAGCCCATAAACTCCGACGGACTGCCCGGCCTTTGGGACACGAGTTGTTGGTCGTTGGCTGACTGTTGCTGGTTGATGAAGCCGGGCGGGGCGTCTTGACCCATTCCCGGGTAATCCGGCCCCATACCGGACATAGGGTTAGAATCCATGCCACCTGCGCACACAACAGACGGACACGACGCATAAGAAAACGGTTTTTATGTATGATAACACACTAGCATATTCAACGGAATACCAAATGTTAATTATATGGCTTAATATAAAAAAATCCTAATAGTCTCGGTGTGATAACAACCAATTAATTCAATTTGAAAAATAAATAAGGTAGTAGTTTTGAATTGAAGCTAAAAATAAAATCGCTATTAACAAACTAACGCGACAATATCAAAGACAAAGTCAAAACCCTAACATTTGGTGATATAAATATTATTCTAAATAGGGTAAATTATGGCTGAATAATATACATTACATATACAGTGAAAGCTGTCTAAAACGGAGGCCTGTTTTTTATTGGTATATAATATATTTGAAGACTTACCGGGGTGTCCGAAAGGTCCTCCGGGTCCGCCCGGGTGTGGTCCGTGGTGTCCGAAAAAGTCGGGATGGAACGAACCAGGACCGTAGCCAAACTCAAATTTGACCTCGGCCGAACCGGCAAAGTAAGGAAATCCGGGTTGTTGGTCATCCAGAGACCCGGGACTCATGTTCAGGGGAAATCCGCGCATCTTGCGCGCTCCGCCGTAGAAGGGTCCTCGTCCCATGGACGTCAGCTGCTTTAGCCGACGCTCCTTGCTTCTCTTGTTCTGGAACCACACCTGAAACCAAAATAACACATAGTATGAAAATGTGTGAAAATAAAGTTCCACTATAATTGAAAAACCGTTGACACTTTGTACTATCATTCTGATTGAAGGACGCACGCACGCCTGCGTAATTTAATCTAAATTATTATTTCCTAAGGAGCATCATTTCGGGATAAAAATTAGCCTATGTGCTAATCCAAGACAAGACTATCAATCAAGGTCCGCCCGAATCCGTTCAGCCGTTATGGCGTGATTGAGTAACAAACACACAAACTTTCGCATTTACAATATACGATTTTCGGTTATCTAAAAATGTATACTTTTAATACCATTAATTATTTGAGATTCTTTCCCGGCATTTATTTGACACTGCCACGTCGACCGACTGTTATTACAAATATTAGTTATAACAAGCATTTCTCTTCCTTGACCTTACCCAACGCGCGGTTCGTTTGAATATTTCCGAGTACACGAAGCGTATATTTACAAATTATTTCCTGTGTGACGTTATTATTTGCAACGAATACGTTTATAAGTACGATACGTCATGTAGTTTAACTGCAATTAAATGCATATATATATGAACACGGTCGAAGCAGAGTAGTGCACTTATCGTTTGTATCCGTCGAAACTCGTCCCGAAAACCGGTTGCATCCGCTCACACGTCCAACTCATGTACATAAATCTATTATAATAATGCAATAATATTGTGCATTCGTATGTACAAATAGATAATATTATAGTTTATATTATGCGCATATATATATATTTTTTTATTATTATTTAATCGTTTAAAATTGATAATTCTCGCCGGCCGCACGGCAACGTAAATGAGTTAGGTACATATTAGTTAGAGTAACATTATATTTATATTAACTATATTGTAATATATGTATTGAAAAAATAAAAATAAAAAATCACAACGGATTCGGAGTCGACAGGCACGAGAAACAAAAAACAAAAAAAATCAAAAACCAAAAAATACTCAATTCCGCGCGCGCGGGCCTCTAATGCGTTTTTAATGATTTTTCTTTCGCTCGGCTCCGGTAAGTACGTTCACGGGGGACGGCTAACTAAACGCGTTTGATTGATGATCGATCGTAAACCACTATATATATATCGTCGGCGGGTACTATGGTCGCCGTAAAGGAAAAAAAATAACTCTCTACCGGCCGCTGTTGTGACCTTAAACACCACTGTACCTGCACAGCTTTTTGTTTTATTCCATACCGCTCTCGGCGCACGACCACAACCCCGGTCGCAGTGTGGTCGCCACATAACGTTTTAGTATACAGTATACCGATATATGAACACACACACACACTCACTAACCACAGTATGAGACCTCCTCGATGCAATCCAGACAATAATAATAACAACAATATAATTGATGTACAAACGTAAATGAAAAAAAAAAAAAGGAATATGGCGAGTAGGTAAAGTCTTTGTCATATTACACACACACACACATGAAACGTGACCACAGAGATACTCGAAAAGGTAAAAAAACAACAAAATACATTTAATTTTAATTAAGGCAACAGTATCCGCAAATGGAAAGTTTTACCGAAGTAATGTGATTAACGAGAATCTACGATGTAAACTAAACTTTAAGACGTCTACCGTATTTTGTCGCTGCTGGGAAAAAAAATAGAAACATTTGTCAAACCAGATGAAAAAGTTGTTTCATCTTTATAACATTTGTACCGCTGGGATAACGGATTTCGCAGTGTCTAACCCTAAGCAAGTTTATACAGTTTTAAGCCGACCGATTTGATACAATTTTAGTACTTGGACGTTAACCTTTCAACCTCGGGATTTCGTATGAATTTATAACCATATAACGTATACTATAGCTTCGCTAGTAACAATATATAATATGTATAAGTGAGCACAGAACAAAATGTGACTCCTGCCGATGTCCGTTTCGAGTCGAGTCTTTTTTTTCTTCGATTACTTTTATTGTTGTTACTATTCCGTTGGCGATTCTTCAGCATTATAGTGGGACGGAAAAAAGCGCAGAACGAAATATCCGACGTGCTGATAACCGTAAGAGCGACAAAGTTAAAAAAAAAACTGAGAGAGAGAGAGACGTACACGACACAGCGCGTTGGCCGCTTAAAGAAATGAAGAATATGTAATTAAAAAATCGCACGGTTTTTTGACGAGGGATCCGACGCGGAACGCGCCGCCGCCGACGTGTTAATCTATTAAGTTATTATACGTTCTGTATAATATATATTAAAAATGCGGGAGGTTTCCAAGAGCGTTGTGTGTATATATAAACATTATACATATAACGTGTAAAATCCTTCGGATCCCGGATTAAACGTTCCGTAAATGTGTCGGAACGAAAATCGGCTTTATGTGTTATTATTTTTTTACCCGTTCATTTATCACGAGTCTCTTGGAAATCCATAAAAATAACACTGTCAGCTGCAGAGCTCCCAAATTGCACTACTATAATAACGGATAGAAAACGCGTATCGTCGCAGCCTTTAGGATGCTCGTTTCCAGTAGAAGGTGCGACAAAATTATGTTACATTCTTACCTAACCGAAATTGTTGACAAGGGAGTCGGTAAGCCCTACGACAGGGAGTCTGATCGAAACTGTAAATACAATAGTGATCAATTACCTGTATGACTCGCATGGGTAAGCTGGTCTCTTTGGCTAGCTGTTCGCGGATGTGCCTGGTCGGCTTGGGCGTCTGCGAGAACGCGGTTTTCAGTATCTCCAGCTGTTTCGCTTTGATCGTGGTCCTGGGCCCGCGTCTCTTCGATCCGGAATTGCCGTCGTCCGGCGACTTGTTCTCCGTCTGGCTGTCCCGGGTCTCCGGATCGCCGTCCAACGATCCCTGGTCTTCGGAGTCCTCCTTGAGATCCATGCCCGAGTGCGGCGCTTGCAGGTCCCCGGCCGACAGCGAGTTGTTGTTGGCTTCAGGCGTGGTCGGCGGCATTATCGACCCAGGACCACCGGGCCCGTGTAGACCGCCGATGTGATGGTGTTTGGTCGACGGTATCGAGTTGGTCTCGTCGTCTTCCTCGTCCTCCGAACCCGAATACGGTAGCGAATCGACGCCTGTAAACAAAAAAAAAAAGAAACCGTTATATAGTTAGTACAGGGTTTGGGGTTGGTCGGCCTACAGTCTTTAAAACATAATAATAATCGCCAAAAGAAACGAGGGCGGGCTGACCCTCGTAATAACCGTTTTGTTTAGAAAATAATAATTGATTATACACTGTGCTGCCAAGTCGGTCGTGTATAAATATCTGGAGGCGGAGGCGTCAGAGCTTGCTCTCACTTTATGTATACACAAACACACAAAACATCCGCCCAAGGGTCTACACGCGCCGCTTGTTTCCTCTCCTGTACACATCTATGCGAACCGGCGACTCGCCGAAGGTATACGACGGCAAGGACCAACCCCCTTATGACAATATTTGTTCAGGAATCAAACTCGATTACCCATTCGCGCCCTCGGGATATATATGTGTTCACTGTACACAAATGTATACAGTGAGATATGTACATGTACGTTGTACATATATAGATATATTATATACGTCCCAGAGATGCCGCTTATGGAAAACTCATTGTTAGCTCATCTCGGAGCTCTATATACGGGATGGTTGGTTACATAGGGACTATATATAATACGGTATATACCCTGTGCAAACAATGCGGTTGTGGTGAGGGGGGTTTTGGTGTGGATATTGATGACGAAAATCCCATCAGGAATCCAATCGCTCCCCCTCTTGTATTTATGTACTACCCTTCTGAACATGATATGATCTGTAAACTAATTTTTTCATGCATATATCTAATTCATAAATAGGTTGATAGACGGGAAAAAAACATATTTATATAGTCAAGTCTACACTCTACTATAATTATTATGGTTAGTATAGACAATAAATGTACAGTTAGAATAACTAAGTTAGGTCACGAAATAGGCTATAACAAATAAGTCCGTACTCTTAAACTTGTTACTGGTTTAGTCGGTCGATGATTAAATTATTATTATTTACTTATATGATAGCGATAAGGAAACGATGAGATTATTATTTTTGCTTCAATTTTTTATGACAATAAGGTGTGTGCGTGCCTGTGTACATTTTCTCGTACAAAAGTCTCGCGACATAAATTAGTCGGGTAGATAAAAATAATATTAAAACGAACGACATAGGGTCCAGAGAGAAATATATATTTATATATATAAAGGATTATATCAATCGTAAAAAAAAAACATACATTTAAGTACACGTGTAAACCTATATACAGCCGCATATAATATATAAAGTAAAATACTGGAAGCCGAGCTATTACTGTCTTTTCGGGTTATTTTACAAGCTGCCGTATAATAACCGAGTATAGGTTTTCGGCATAAATATGATTGTTATGATATACGCCCGAGTGGCGCGCAGCTGATACATAAAGGCGATTTGTATAATACACACACACACACATATATATATAGATATAGTATTTTTTAAAAGGATTTTTTTTTCTTCCTTCTTTTATGACCGTCGTCCCAGACCGGCCGGAGTCTTCGGCCCGTCAAAAAGGCGCGCGCGTATTTACATATAACACGAATTTTTTACATAATTTATGCCTACGAGGGACGTATACACGTGTACATATATACAATATACATGCATAAATAATATCATATGCGCGGACGGTGAAACGAATAGGTAAAAAAATGAAATAAAAAACAACCGAGTGACCAAGAAAACCACCGGCGGAATACCTGTCAATTTTTACGACCCGTCTTAAGGTGTTCGGCTTTTTTTTATGATTTTTTATTTTTTATTTAAAGTAAGTATGTATATATATATATATAAATATATGTGTGTGTGTGTGTGTGTCCGAGAATACTCATTTTTTGTTTGCCTCTCTCGTGTGTCGGCGACGGCGGTCCCCTTGAAACGCTCCCGTACTGTACATATTTTATATATATATATATATACAATATATATATGCATATGTATATGAAATATAATGACATTATCACCGTCGAACAGACGTCGGATTTGTTTCGAACCATCGAAACGTCGAGTTTACGATTTTCCTCGCGCACACACACAAACGACGAGATCCTGAGCGGGAGCCGTCTTAAACATTATATTATACATGTATATATATATATATATATGAGCAACGGCGGTCGTGCCAAACTCAGCCCGTGTTGCCAATAGGGCATAAGCGACAAGGCGGAAGAGGGGAAACGTGTGAAAAATACACATAACCCGTATGAATTATAACTATTTTCGAATTCCTCGTTTATTATATTCATTCCGCCACCGCCTCGACCACCGCTGCAGAACAAAAGTAAAAAAAAAGCAGCAATATAGCATGCCCACTAGGTATGTGTACGGTACATATAGTGTAATATATTATAATATAGTGCGTATGCGTGCGCACTTATACACAATCTTCAAGACAGTTTTTGTTTTTTTTTTTTACACGTCTAGTTACATACATAATACAAATATTATTATTATTGTGTCGTTGACGAATTTACGATCAGTGTACGGACTCGATTTTAATATTATACACAATTATTTAACTAGCAGAACACAAGGGAGGAGACAGAGTTTTTTTTGTTTGAAAAACTTTTTCGCTCCGTGTAACATTATACTGGGTCGCTATTAGCGACTACTTACTACTTTAATTACTAACCTAGTTTTTTTTTTGTTTTACTTTTATCGTCTGCAATTTACTACACAACATGCATAATGTCTTCATCTCGTCCGACATTCGGTCCGTGCGAACGAAACCATCGAAAACGCCAATATGGAAGGAATATTTTATCTTTAGAACCCTCTCTCCCCGACTTCGATTTCCAATTCAAACAGACCCGGCAAACGTGCTCGGCGATATTTTCTTTATTTCACAGTCGCCCTTCACTCGATCGACTCTTGTGTTTTGTTTCCTGGTGCGGACCCGGCTTAAGACTTGCCGTCAAAAGCATACAAACACAGCGATAATTGGAGGCGCACACGGACGGCGTGGTTGGCTTAGCACGCGCGCCTCTCACGAAGAACTCCTAAATAAAACTTCTATGGACAGGCACTCGGGTGTCGCTTTCACACCTTAGCCCGGAATATAATATATTACACTATTTACAATATTAACGTGCCCAAGGTATATTATACAATAATAATTAACCCTAACGAAACGCCGCGCCGCAAACAACGGAATTACCATACATATTAAAATATAATAATGTATGTGTATATATGTCTATATATGTAATAAGTAATAACCCGCGGGGCCGGTGTCATTGTTTATAGCGGTTTTTATTTATAATATTGTAGTATTATTATTTTAGCCCTTTCGAGTGTATTTTCTTCTCCCCGCCCAGCCCCGAGCGACTTCTTACCATATTTCAATATGGCCAATGCGTTAAGAATACAATCGAAGATGTGTTTTTTTTCTTCGCTTTGCGTCTATTCCACAAGATGAGACGCGTACACCTATTCTTAATAATTGTACGGATTGTACTATGCCGTACAATGTCGATTGAAATCAAACTAGCGAACGAGTTAGGTTAGGTTAAACTAGATTCAGTTATTAAATAATTGTCAAAGTATAATAACTTTTTAAAATTGGCATTTCATTCGAAACAACCAAACTAAAATTACTTAAACTTTGCGGCGGAGCTGAGAATAAGTAAATTGTTTTTACTATAGATATTTTTTTCTATCTAGATCCCAGAAAAAGGCTTTAACTACCGGACGGATTTATTTATGTAGTCGGTCTACAGATAAACAAAAAAAATTGTCGTCTTTGTAAATTAAAAAAATGATGGCTAATCGTCACCTTATTGTTTTTTAATTTCGGTATTCTTTATATCATACCGATTTACAAACACATTTAAAACGGTACTCGTAGTAGATAATATTTTAGCGGGATCCACCCGTCGTCGTAGCGAAAGGATTCCACAATCACCGCTTAGGCAATTCTTATACACAGGTATATAAGTATATATACATAGTGGGCGTCTCAGGGACGGGAAGACATAACCGCCCGCTGTGTGGACGGGCGGCGGCGGTAAAAAGGCAAACGCATGGGCTCCCCGTGGCGAATATCTGCCTCCGTCACAAGCCAGCACGACTCTTCTATCCGCCAGAGCCGCCTGCCGGGCGTTTCGCGATTTTGACGTTGCCCGTCAGACACAGACCAGAAGAGGTCATCTCGCCAGCCGACGTTTTTTACATACTTAACGATCATTTATAAACATATTTATATATAGCTGTTGTCTGTTATTATATAAAGTAATTGTCTACATACTGTCCGCTGGGAATGATTGTCGCAGTGTTGTTCATAGCTCGAACAAACCACATGCTAGTAAAAGTTATATAAATTAATAAAAAAAAAGCTTGTACTTTGTATTCAGTCTGAAAATATAGCGTCCGGCATTTATGTAACCTGCGATCGCCAGCGGAGAAGATAGATAATTGATTAATTTTTTTATAATATTTTTTAGGTGTCTTCATCCCCGAAAAACGTTGTGGAACATATTGTGCGTACTATCATAAGCCGATGATATAATTAATCGTCTTTCGCGCGGACCGGTAAAACATTTTTCATCTGTTGATCTTTCCATACGGTGTGTGCGTGTGAGTGTTCTCGTGTATAAAAAGTTTGACAACCGGTTATAAATCATTATGTGCTCGCACAGACATCAAAAACCTGCCGCCTCCTCCGCTCCCTATATCGTATCTATAAATGCATGCAATCGGATGCGATCTGAGAGCCGAGTATACTCTTATACAGTAAATTCTAACTATTCTACGTATAGTCTTGTAGTCTGTTCGTGTAGATTAGAAAACGGTAAGCCGGAAGACCGTGAAAATCCAAATGGTACAACAAAAAAACGGCTGCAGAATCACGCTCCCCCATTGGCCACGGTATTAGCATTCGGGTTCCGGCCGAGACTTTTCCGTCGCCTCGGGTCGTGCGCCCGCCGAAAAAAATCGTTAACCGAAAAAATGGCGTCGGCCAAACGGTCCAGTTGATATTCATATAGAAAAAAACAGGTTTCGTTTTGTCGGCGACGGTGTTCTCTATAGTATTATAATTTTCCTTTTTCAAACCGAGCAGCAAGACGTTTGATGAATTAACGTTGCCCTCGCACCGAAAGAAAATCGAGCAATGCGGTGATATCTAGGAATGTTATCAAGTCTATGTACCCAAAAAATTCTAATACACTTTTCCGTCCCCGTGTCGGCCGCAATATCGTCTCTCTTATCGCATCATTTCCAAAAAGGTTCGCACGTTAATAAACCTCCGACCGCGACAAATTTCCCGAAATTTCAAGGTACCTACGCCTTAAATATAACATAATAGGCAAGTGTAAACTATTTTGGCGAGTACAGCCGAGTAGTACTTAGTGCTCCGAGGAGAATTATTCGACGACAGTATTTCGACATTATGCACGCATATTTTTCATTTTTTTTTTTTTCAAATACACTCGCGACCGTACATAAACAACAATGGAACAATATAATAATATAGTAATATAATATACCGTATATGCTGTGTGTGTGTGTACCTATATGTATGTGTGTATACACCGCATGCGGCTACCGCGGTGCGGTCAAATACTTATACAGGTATTATATATATTATTTATAATAGTATAACGACGGACAACAATGAGCAGGCGAGGCGACGAAGAATATTTTGTTGGAAAAATGACCCGAGGCGGTGGTGGCGATGCGTAGAGTATCCCAACGCGTTGTAGTAGACTGTAACGAAATTTCTGGCGCCTACTTAACTCACCGTGGCCTATTGTGTGCAAGTAACTCGCCGAACCTATACATAGGGAGGGAAAACGAAAACAAAAATGTGTATCGAAATTTTCCTAGGACACGCCGCCGAATCGGCACAATGCGATTACCGCACATACGCGTATCCGTGCATCGAGAAACATGCAATCCGAAAGTGGAATCTTAAGAGCGGTTCGCACGAGATCGTGCAAGCGCTATACTTGCAGCTTAAATATTATACTCGTATAGCCGTTTAAGAGCCCCGTGGTTCGGTTAGGTTTCGGACGGGGTCGTTGTTTGGATTGGCAGCTGGTATTTGGCTTTTTATGCGCATTAAACACGGGGTCCTGGCCAAAATCCCCATGTCCAGTTGCCTTTGGGAAAATTGTCGACCCTATCGACCGCGTTTGTCAGACTTAGGCCACGCCCCGCGATAACGTAAGCTCGTACACGAAATTAGGTACACGCGAATGTGCATAAGTATATTATATAACTGATATGAAATATTGAAATGTCGCACGCGAACGCCGCCGGAGTTGCGCTTGTAGTTTTCGGACGGATGTTGTTGTATGTGTATGCGCGCCGGTGGAGGGCAAAGGGTGGGTAGGGGCAAAGGCCGGAACTTCATTTCCATAGTTGGGAAACTCGATTTGAAACTCATCAACGGAAATCTAGTTATGCGTGCAAAACGGCCGAAAGGGGGGAGCTCGTACGCGGCCAAGGGTTTGTCGTCGCCGCCGCCGCCGCCAACGTGCGTGCCGAGGGTTGTGTAATATTATTATAATATATCAGTTTAGAAGGGTGGTAGAGCGCGGAAGCTTTGGTAACCTGCCGTAGGTAAATATAATAAGCGCGTTTTTTGGGACACAAAACAAAAAAACTTTGATAGAACGTACAATAATACACGAAAAGACCCAATTTATCGATTTGCTTGTCTTATCTAAGCAATATTAACTTCTTAATTCTACGACCGCGCCCCATCCTGCCGTGGATTATGTCATTATAACTTATAATATTATTATGTCGTTTTATTACTGACCTTGTCCGTTCTTGCCGGATATGTAATCCTCTTTGCATATGAACTTGTTGTCTTCGAGCACGTACAGTTCTTCGCCGGTGGACAACTGTTTCCGGCATATCATGCACGTGAAACAGTTGAGGTGGAACACTTTATCCCGGGCTTTCCGCACCAAGTCAGTGGGCGAAATTCCCTGGGCGCATCCGTTACATTTTTTACCATACCTCCTGTAAAAAATTGATCATATAGTAAAAATTAGTCGTAGTAGTAGACATACATAATACCGCTGGTATAATATTTAATATTATTATTATTATTACAGAAATGTTTTTATTATACCTGGAAGAGGGTGGTGCCCCGAAACGATTCATCATCTCGGCGGCGACGCGGTCAGGTTCAAAAGGAGGAGACGAGTAGAGCAAAAGAGAGAGAGAGAGACGATGAAAGGTTATGATCGGTTAGCGGGAACGGGGGGGGGGGTACGGAGGGGAAATGAAAAGAAACAATAACGTAAAAAATATTTCTCTTTGAGTTCGTGAAACGGCAGGGCGTCCACTGCACATACACACACACACTCGGGTCGTGCCGAAAAGCCGCGCAAGGACACCGGGGGGGTCACGGGGTCGCGGCGTGCGTTTAATATTTCGGACGAGGACGTGTTTACGACGACTTAAAAAACGAACCGAGAAAAAGGAGAAAAAAAACTTTTATATCCTTCGGTATATGAGATTTTCGTATACAATATGCGGGAGTAGTCGGAAACTTTTTTTATATATATATATATATATTAATCGTCTCAAAGGGTTTTCGCTCTCTTTGTTTTCTAGGAAAACGAACGAGCCGCCGCCAATGCGAATTTTATTGCTAGCAGTATTTTTTTTTTTATTATTATCGAGGTCCTTTGGCGGTGCGGTGTCAGTTGACCGAAAAAAGTCCACTCTTGACCCATTATAATATAATACACACGGTATCCGTTTAAGTGTTATACACGGGCACGGCGTCCATGCGTGTTATGTGGACGTTATAACGTGCTACGAACGCGGGCTACGACGTTATAGGCTTGCACACAGCCGCGACAATGTATATATTAATATAATACCCTACAAGGTCCGGCGCTATAATAAAAAAGAAGTACATTAAATATTTAAAAAATATGCCCGAACGGCTACCGCACAAACTTGGTGCTATGTTTAACGTCTCCCGGTTGAGAACTTTCTTAACTCTATATAGTATTTTGCACTATTATAATATAATAGATAACTATAAATTGGTAAACTTATTATGATAGTCCAAATATAACTGAACAGATTACGTTTGTCTAACCTGGACTACTTATAGAGTGAAACCCGCCGCATTTAAAATGGCCAAGGTCCAAAAAAACCTAACTATTAATCGTTTGCGAATGCCGAATGGGTTTCTTAAAAGCATGCGCCGCGTACAAAGTCTGAACTTTTTCGATTTGTTGGTACATTTAAAACGTCACGGGTTTCTTACAATAATAACACAAGTAACGTTGCACGTTATAACGGCTGAGCGTAATGCAAAGCTTATGCCTTCATCGTCCGTTTGACTAGTAAATTGCGGTGTACCAATGCAATGTGCATAACGAATATGTTATGGCATGTGTTTTTTCAATTCTGGCCAAATTGCGCGTTCAAAAACCGATTAACGGACTCTTGAAAATTCTTAAAAAACTTCAAGTGGACGGCGGCGGGGCTGGCATGTACAAATAATATACACTACCGATGAAACCCCATCGTTTTGTTGTAAACCACTGACTAAACTGACCACTGACCAAACGGTGTTTGAAAACGAATCACGGCTAAGAAAAAGTGAAAAAAAAACAATATAAATAAATAAACTTGAACGCGACGAGGAAGGGAGAAAGTCACATATTATTATTCAATATCGTTCACGTACCGATGTAATAATAATAATACAATTAATCAAATACGTTCATGGGCTCTCGTGTGTGTGTGTGTATAATGACACCATGATGTAAAACTGGTATTTACTCGGTAATTTCGTGTAAATTATCGGGCGTCCCGCGGGTTGTGTATTTTTTATATTTTTTTATGTTTTCTCACACACAGTCGTCGTCGTCGTCGTTTCCACAATCATTTATAACGCACTCAAAGCATATCATAACAGCACTAAGACGTATTCAAGTTGTAACGCCGTTTTATTATTGCTTATTTTTTTATTTTTTTTTTTTTTTATAGAGTCCTCCGATATTTAACATATAGGCGTGCATAATGTGTGTAGCCGCGCGAGGTGCGCCAGGCGCACATACGGCACAGTAACGTAATAACAATTCTTGTCGTTTGCAATAATGTTATAATATTAAAAAAGCAAAAAAAAGTCCTCGTGGTCGGACGACTAACCGTTTTTCATGTGCTTATGTGTCGGCTCTAAAACGCGCTTTGGCCGCCAACAAACCAAAAAACGTGCGCATTTAAGCAAAAAAAATAAAACAAGATTTAGCGCAGGCGACTTAACGCCAACACATTGTACAACAATATGTTAAATATTATATACAATTACGGTGACGGCGCACTTAGTATAGGTACCAAACACGAATATAGTTTCAACAGCGGACAAATTATACACGAAAACGCGTTTTCTTAAGTACAAACATGATATTTTATTTTTATTTGTCGCTTTAGCGAATTATTAATTGTACGTTATTCGATTTGGTCCGAAACGGCTAGTCTTGATTTTCATCGCATTTTTTTTTCAACAACTTTTCGCAAACGAGTTTTGGAATTAGAATAGTCCAGAGTAAACTCAACAGTATACAACAATTTATTATAATTATTGCGTTTATTACAATCTTTCTCGACGTTTACCGGTTTACTGCTCCTACTTTAGTATTTTCATTAATAAAACGCTAATAAATATGTAATATGAAATACCATATAGCTATTTATTTTTCTGTACACACCTACCCTGTTGAATTTTGTACTATTTCTTGATTTTTTTTTCCCCCAAATTCTTATTTCTATCAATGTCAATTTCCCATTACAAGGTTTGTTCTTAAGGCGTACAATAGTATATAAAAAAAAAAGAGTGAGCAACCTTTTTTTAAAAAAAAAAAAATAAGTAACGGATGTAATATTATTTTACTTGTATCTATAGAAAAAAAATGATCACGGCGATAAACAATGGGAGCGATGACGGAAATCCGTCGAAAAAATTGTCTCGCGGATGCGTCCAAAGAGGAAATTGTATAGACTTCGGTGCTTGGGTAGGTATATGGAAAGCATATATGTATAGGCGTGTGTTTGTGACTTGTGTCTGTATATATTTATAGTTAGTACTAGTTTAGAATACGGTGGGGACGAATAAGAGAAGAAGGAGAAGAAAACCGTACTCTGTGTTTTCTTCTATTAGCTTCACGGATCATTGGCGCGCGTATTTCTGTAGAAATCATATTTCTATCCGCCTTGGCAGGTTTAATAAACTTGAAACGCATTGAAATCGTATGGCCAAAACGTGAGCATCGTTATAACGTGTAGAGAATCACAAATGATGCGGTACCCGGTATAATCGGACGTCTCTGCTGGATTTTAATGGTAAAAAAAAAACACTAAACGGCGTTTATGTATAACAACAATAAGATTAACTATAATAGCTTATAATAAAAAAAAAAATCGTTTAAACACATAAAAGGGCAAGTTATACAATTAGTAAATAATTACTTTATATAATATAAATAAATATTTTTGTATAGGTAATTTAATGTATGGTCATAATATTAATTCTATGCATTTTTTGCGAAGCTAAATTAATGTGTAGCATAAAATAATTGGCGCGAGTATTTTGAGTATTCTCTTTGCATAGATTTTTTTTTTTTTTTTAGCGCGGTAAAACTGTCATTGCTATTATTATGTAATATTATACATAGATGTAACCGCACAATCGTATGTCGTACGCGGTATGTAATTAAATAAGCCGATTGGGCGAAAAACGCTTCGGTCAAGAGCGAAATTAGCGAGAAAGTTGCGCCGAAATATAAACTCTGTATCGCCTTAAGTTAATTGCTTTCCTCGCCTTCTCGGCGTTGCTGCTGTAAAGTCATTGTCTTTTCGCGACAGTACACGCGGTACATCCGGTAAGAACGATATAAAAGTTTGTCAAATTAAAAAAAAACAAAAGAAGGGAGTCGAGAGACAGACAAGTCGATGGCCGCCATTAGTATGCGCGCGCGGCGATAAACGATTTAAAGTTCACCGAAAAGCAGATAAAGCACGTGCGCCGTCGCCATTTCGCAAAATTGATTCGAAGGCGCTATATTATTTACTTAGGTACATACAAATATAATAACTATAGGGCGTTTTGCACGTTATATGCGAACGATTTCCGTGTGTATCGAAAACGCAAAATAGTATGTACGACACACAATGTTATCACATTCCCTATATCCGCACCGAAACAATAACCGAAAGGTTTTTTAAGCCGGCCGCCGTTTTACCGCCGTCTCTCCTCTTTCTCTTCGCTTATACGGTGACGTTAAAAATAACAAAACCGTGTATACACGCACACAACAATAATAAAGGGATCACTGTATGCATGTGATACCGTGGTGGTAATAATACGCAGCATTGTGCCGAAGCGACAGCCCGCGAACAGCACAGCCCAAACACGGTGCACGGTGCATATTATAAAATAGATAGGATGTATTTTATTATTATATCTGGTACAGTCGTCGGATAAAAAGGCAGATGCGCCCGACGAATAGCCCTCTTTAAAATAACATTTATCGAAAACTTGTATTGTACACCTCAATACACGATATTATATATATATATGTTGCACGCAAACAGAGGAGGGGACGTGAAATGTATACAATAAAATACATAACACACACTTAACACGATCATGGGCGTATGTGTGTGTGTGTGAATGATTTTTGCGATTCTGATGACAAGCGAAATGGTTCCAGGTTAAAATGTCCATATAACATAAACGTCCAATTAATTACCGCAACCTAAATGTCTAGTTTCTACCATAATCTATGCTGGTTGTTTTTTGACATTACTCGCGGTCTTAAAACTGAAAACAATTGTATTTTTTACCGATAGCGACCGAATTGAGCAGACACGCCACCGGCCACTATACCTACCTATACTATGCAGATACATAAGTCGTTATTACGCGTTGTATACACTGTACTGTTACATGTATAATGGAGGTTTTATTGGACTTTGGTTTTAATGTTCGCACAAAGTCTTTCCTTGTCGATTTTATTATTTTTTCCCCTCCTTTTTGTTTTTCACTTTGACGACGACCGGAGAAAAACAATCATATACAAATCTAAAACGGCGTCGTCACCACTGCCGCCCAGTTTTATGGTGGCCGATCACGTATTCACATAACGGCAGCGCAGACTGAAGTGTTTGTGTGTGTGTTGTATAAAGCGAACAAATGGGGAGAGACTATATTATACACGGCCGCGTACAATAAGAAACCGGCGGCGCCATTTTGTCCCGTACCACTGCATTCATCGGGGGCACCACTACAGACCACAGTCTTGTGGAATTGATTGCCATCACGCGCATCATAAGCCTAAAATCGCAGGGACTTACAAAAAAATGTTTAATACCGCTTTTCCGACCAACGGTTCTGAACATTATGTAGAGAAATTGCCCCACGCTCAAAAACAGTACACACAGACTATTCTGAATCATATATATATGTGTGTATGTAGATATAATCCGATTTGACGTCTCGCATAACAAAAACCTTTACAAGAAAATATGTATAGGTTAAGTATATTTCTATCATATTATGTACGCCGCCCACCAGTTATCGCAGGTCCGTGAGTGCGCTTAACGCTCTCGTAGGTGTTATTATGTACTATTATATTATTGTATCAACTATATTGCGCACGGTTATAAATAATATATTAAATTACACATAAACGTGTTTTTTTTAGATCACTTTTTGTGTACTCGTGGGCTGTACGGACTACGCGTAGAAAAGTATATAGATACCAAAATTGGTCCAGGGGATAGATTTTTGCACACAATCTCTTTTACATATACATATATATATATATATATATATATATATAATTTTTTTAAATGGCTATGGACCAAAGTACATAATTTTACCGATAAATACAATATACTGAGTGAAAACGATAAATAACAATAAATTAGAAGGAGTATTCGACAATTTTGGAATATCCTTTATACAAAACATAATGTCTATGGGAAATTGTATAAGTATTTTCTAAAATTTAGTTTTTTATGAATATCAGGTACAGTGTATTACCTGTAAAAGTCGGGTTTGCATAGGATTTTGCCGTCCCTGCTGTAGCATTTGTCGGACAGCGTGCCGTGACAGTCGACACATTTAACGCACTCCGAGTGCCACGCCCTGTCCAGCACATTCAAAAGGAACTTATCCATGATGGGTTTGTCGCAGCCCGCACAACTCATCATCAGGCTGCTACACCGACCGCCGCCTCCGCCTCTGCCTGCCAAAACAATAGTAAACATTATTATCATTAGTTTTAAGTACCTTTGGTTATATATGGTTGGATTTCTAACCACTATTATATTAACCACAACGTTTATAAAGCCAACATTTTACCTCTTTCAGTGTACACAAAGTTAAGCACACGTAGTCTGTACCTATTAGGTATAAAATGGCATAATACCAACTTCACTTTTTGAGACTTTTGACAAGACAAAATTAATGTCGAAAACTCTTTGTTTTAGAAACGTCCCACTAAAGGTTTTTTGAACGTCAGCGCCGCTCTACAGGATTGGTTGTATATAACATTTCTGTTCTTTGTGTATATCAATGCCCACTGTTAATTCTGATGTTACTAGTCCTTACTATACGTATAGTATGCGTTATTTTAGATGGACAACGGTCCGCAAACCGTCTCGTACCTTTTAGATACAATAATAATAGCAATAATGAAATATATATATATATATTATATACAGTAATTTTGACAGACCGTATAGGTATATACATACACACGCTCACGTTCAATGACACGTTCGCCATGCTCCAGTTTTCCAACGCGACCGTGTACATATTATATATAACAGCGAGAAAAATAAAATACATAAGAAAAAATCGCCATCGTTTGCTGCAGAATCTTAGTCCGGTCGCGCATTATACTTATAAATACTATACATATAGTACCTAAATATGTAGATACATATTTCAATATTATCATTATTATGTTGATTATATACATATAATCTAGTTTTTCATGCTTCATACTTTTTTTCTTTTTGAAGACATTTTTGTTTGTGCTTTTTTTTTAAATTGCCTGATCTCTTTTGATGGTTATCAGAGCGTTATAACGAGCTTTGAAACTTAAATTATAAAACGTTTATATTTTATTAACATTTTAAATCAAGAACAATTTAGTGACAATTATTTTTACTGGTCAATAACTAGTTTTGAAATAAAATTTGGTACTTTTAAAATTATTAAAGTTAAGAAAGTTTAGAGACGAGGAATAGTGTAGTGTACTAAGGTGTTATAATAAAATGCGTGCATTACTCAACCGCACTTCCCGTCCTGACTTTAAAGAAATTATTCATTTGAACGTGTTAAAGCTTTCACGGACTGAAATATTATATGGATACATCTGAAAACGATCCACATGAAATTATTCTTGATTTAAAAAGTTAATCAGTGTGTTACCATTTAAGTTGATAGCGCTCTGGAAAATATCAAAAGAGATAAAAAATGTTAAAAGTTTATAATGTGGTAAAAGAAAAAATATGAAATTCCAATTATTTTTTGAGAAAATGAATGAATCCCTTTAAGTTGACAAGCCTTTATAGGTAAAGTGTAAATTATTTATAAATATAATAACAGCGTGAGACACCCTGTATATATTATAAATGATATTATAACCCAAGCGAAACTATTGCGAGGTAACTGTGATCCTTTTCTTAATTCGCTATACTTTGGCAGTAGCTATATAACTATATAGCTCATATAATCATCTATAATAGTAATAAATAATAGTTATCGTTTTTAGCGTCCAGGTAAATAATACCTAAACCGCCGTTGCTAAATTTTACGATTGACGCTATTGGATACGTGGTGCTAATAGGTGACTATAGTAATAACTAATAATATAATGCGCTATTGTACATGTATAGCATTAGTAGTGGACCCAAGTGTTGTGCCGTCTCCAAAAAGCCTAAGTCATCAAGCCGACGATAATCGATAAGTTTTCTGGCATAATAAACGCTTACACGTTGCAGTATACCCTAAGACGGATATAATAATATGTTTTCTTCATTCATGAGCGATGGCAGCACAAAACGCATTAGCTTTGAGTTTTACTAGTATAATAATATAGGCAAATAAAATTGGTTCGAACAGTGTTTAGACAATATGATTGAATTAACAATAATTTGAAATAAAAATATAAAATATACCTAGTAAATTCGGTCAATTACGTTTAAATCAAAAGGCAATTTGTTTATAAAATTAATTTACAGATTTTCAGTAATACCTTTGAACATGTGTTTAAGTTGGACATGGGCTACCGGAGCTGTGTTTAATCATGATATTTTAAGTGCTATCCTAACCGAATATTTATTTTTAATAGTAACCAGAACAATATCAAGATTCAATCGATTTTTCTAGCAATTTATATTTAACATTTTGTATTTGTCAATGATATATTTTTGAAAAAATGGTCAAAATAATTTTTATGACCCATAAAAAGTTGAGTTTGTACTTTGCCTATCTGTAGAATGATATAATTAAGACACTCGTTTCTTTTTTTGTACCTTTTTCGATAACCGGTTTATTTTTTATAACTTATGTAGTTTTTCAAATTATTATTTATTATGAAACCGTAGCTTAACTTGAACTTTTTTTTCTACAGAATATCTAGAAACCAAACGCCATTAATTTGAAGCATCTTTATTCTTTTCTATATTGGAGCTTGAATGTACGATTCTCCAATATATATATATAAATGTCTTGAAAGTCTCTCAACTGTACTTATCTCTAAACACTGGCGAGTTTAAACATACACATAGGTGGGTATCATGATTTGGGCATGTGAATCTGGATGTGCCATTGGGAATTTCCGATTGATATACCTACTCGCGTAAAGATCCACGTCCCTCAAGCTTGAGACAGGCCTTAGCCCGTCTACTTAAGATTATCGACGCGTTCCTTTTGTAGGATTTCCACGTGCGTCGACCAACCAATGTACTACACACGTCGGCGTGTAGCATATGCGTATGTGTTATTAGGATGAGTAAAAAAAATCGTCTATCGAGTTAAGTCCGATGGACCGGAACGAATACGGCCACGAGCCGAACGTTACGCGTGCTTACTTCGGGTCTCTTCTGCAGCCACAACGGAGGACATCACGAAGCACGAGGAGAACTACTGACTGCTTATATATATATATATAATAATATTATGATTATACCCGATCCTGTTCTTGTTTTCCGATCATACGACAGAGTACATTGTACAAAAAACAAACTGGTCGCGGCGCGCGATGACCACACCTTTTTTTTTTCATTTCTTATTTTTGATTTTTTTGTTTTTTTTTTTTTTTATACTTACATACTCCACGCCGCTCGTACACACGAAGTTACGCACGAGTTACCCGTTGTTAACCCGCGGCAAGCGACAAAAATCATGGAAAAACGAAGAAGAAAAAAAACCCCTCAAAACAAAACCTCAAAAATTATTCTCAGTCATGTTACGGTGACGTGCCTTTTGGAATGCCGTCGTGTTTTTGGAAAATCTATTGTATGTATATATATATATATATATATATATATATATATATATTATAAACACACATTTACCCATTACTATATATATATATATAGAATGGTATATTATATATTATGTAGGTGTACATAAAGCACGCGTCAATCTGCGTCTTCTATAAGGGTACGTTTACTATACTCAGTGCATATATTTGAGAAATTGAATATTGTAAATACAAATAGATGCTATAATGTGTATCCCCATACACATTATGTAGATACAAATATTTGAAAACAGAGATTCGTAATATAGATTTGATATTTATAGAGTTAGAGAACATAAGTTACAGAAAACAAAGACTATTAAAGACATTTACACGAAAATAAAATAATAGTTGATTTAACTGTGTATATATTTTTTTATTTAATTATTTGATACACCCCATAACCCAACAAATACTTAATATTGTAGAATGTGCAAAAGACGGGGTCATGCCTTGTACCTAGTTACATTATTTAACTAAAATAAAATAATAGAAATAAAACTAAATAGTAAAATAGGAAATAATTAGGCATGATTTTGCGCAAAATATGAATATATAATTGTTGAACATAAAATAATCGATTTTGAGTGTTAAAATTTGATAAATTTTAAAAATATTTCAAATTAATAGTTTATACAGAGTAAGATAGGAGGAGTAGATTAAAGTTATTGAAAAAGTTCGTTAAAACAAATAGGAATTATTTTCATTACAAATCCTCTATAAAACTGTATAAATTATAGTACCTACAGTGAATAGCAAAACCAAACTCGAACAACATAACATCTGTTATTGTCAATAGTTAAAAAAGTAGTAGTTAAAAAAGTATAATGCACCAATTAATACAAGTATTACAACTAGGTGTATAATAACTGACCATTTATATCGAAACTATTAAATTTGATTCTAGATCGTTTGAAGAACATTAATTTAACCTATCTAATTGAATCCTAAAACTAGAAGTACCTATGTCCTATACATATAAATATTACCTACGTCTTGTCTAAACAATGTGATAAAATCTAAGTATAGATGTATAATAACAACTTTTAAGCGATACTTTGACACTATGTTTTACTTGGTGCCACTTCTCGCGTATCCACAAAGTACGATATTTTTCATGAAAAATTGAATGTATTTTATCAATTCGGTGTGGTTAATATAAAACGCGGTTTATTTTAATTTGTATATAGGTGTATATTATTATTTCCTATTATGACCGTAATTTTCTTGTAACGAGCAATTGAATTTATTTTGATTTAAAGTTTAATCTAATGTTTTTTTATTGAACAAGCTCTAAGCTGTAGTAACCCATAGAGCTACTAACCGCAAGTATAGACACTATATAATATTTCTTCAGGCTAATTTTTGCCTTCTTTATTTTTATTTTTTTAATAATAGCGCGTGTTTTAACGTAGGACGTGTGTATACTTTTATATTGACGCGTATACTGTAGTCGCCACCTGCGGTACCAACGACTCGAGTCGTCTGTCCTTCAGTATATCATACACATGTACTCACACACACACAATAACAAAATTACTACTAAACACGTATAGGTAAACGTCATATTTTTTTTTTTTTTTGTTAACAGATTCTCCTCGTTTTGACATGCATGACTGACAATTCGACGTCTGCATATACACTATCACTATATTATATGCATGTATATCGTATATGTATACGGTGGTCGTCTTATTATTACTATACAGTTTTTATTTCACTCGGTTAGACGTGTCTTTTTTTATTATTATTATTTCTTTTAAAAGAGGAGACGGACATCGTGGGACACAAAAACTACATTGACCAGAGACGCGGCACGAGAAACACGGTTCGTTAAATATTGTGTGTGTGAATATACATTGAATAGTACAGAACATTATACGGGTATCACTATATTATAAGCAAGTTAGATATTGCGCTTTAAGCGCTTGTGTACTTACTTATGTTATGGGTCTGCGTTACCGGGAACGACATGTGGAACGGATGGGTAGCCAAGTGGTTCTGAGGGTTCAGCGGCGACGTGCTCCTGTTGGTGGCCGACGTGGTGTACATAGGCTGCTGGGACGATTGCACAGTAGCCGCGGCTGCTGCGGCTGCGGCTGCGGCGGCCGCTGCCGCTGCGGCCACGGACGAAGGAGACGACTGTGACGAACCGGTAATGGACGATTGGCCGGGCAGTCCGGCCACCGGTGGTCTGGCGGCTAGCGGGTCGGTCGCGCCTCCTTGCCCGGGAGTCTCGTCCGGGTAAAACTGCAAGCCGAACGTAGTGGCCAACGACGAAGTGGCCATGTGGCCGCCGCCGCCAACCTGCGTCGGACGGATACGGCAGCTTCGGGCATAAGGCGGCTGGTGCACCGCCCCTGCGGCGTCCTGACCCACTGGCGTCGTGATGGCTGTAGTCAACCGGTGCCCAGAACGGTGACGACGATCAACGCGGCCTCCAATCGCTGTCGCTGAGTCCGCCGCTGCTGCAGTTTCGGGTGTCCACTTTTTGTATAATCCTGAATGTCATATACAGCGCACTCGGGTTATTGTTTTTCGCGAAAAATTTTAGATTTTACGGCGATCACACTTTCGCGACGACGGCACTAAACGCGATGGACACAGCGAAAATTATATAAATGAACCGCGAAACGACGTTGTTTTTCCGTTCGCGATACGAGGGTAGTTGTATTTAGGGTTTATTGAGTGTGCTGCGGACACGGGAACGCGCGGGCGAACGCAGTATTCGACCGATAGGAAAAGCCGGAAACCGAACACTGGCGAGCATCACGAACCGGCGACCGGTGCTCTGATCGCGGTGGCGGCTCGACCGCGGTGACGGAGGTGGGACCGAAAGTGCCATTGGACGACGGTGCCCGAACGACGCCCCGTTCGGCACGCCTTCTGGCCGCGAGGAAAGGGTACGGCCGCTGCCCGTCGTCACGACGACGACCGCACCGGACCCTCCTCGCCCACACTGCCGCGTAAACCACGTCGTAGGTCGTTGAATTTTTTTCCCTCCTCTTCCTCCTCCTTTTTCTACACAAACTACTTATATTTTCCCTTATTCTTCCCTGGTATTTTTCCTCCGTTTTCCACTCCTCAGCAGACGTCCGCTGACGACGCTCATCTCTTTTCTCCCGACAGACATTACTGCAAACTCTTTATTTTCCATTTCGCACTTCTCAGCCTGTATATTGTTGATTTGAGTTTGCCTGACGCCAGTGTATAATATATATATATATATATATAACTTCAAAGTCCACTGACAAACAGTAAATCAATTAACGGCTACCAAGAACCATTCATAAATTCATTGGTTCCTCTAGAAACGGCAATGTACATATTGTTTAATTTTTCCTATTATATTTACAAGACTGAATTAATATTAGGTACACTCTGACGTAACGTGCTGCAAATCTTCAAGGCACAATAAAAACAAAATAGCAAATAATGCTCGCAGAGTTTTCTCATCTACCAGTAAAAGACGGCAAGAGTAGGAGAAAAAATTATACGATGATCGTAAAAAAAACGTACTATTTTACAAATTAATTATGCGTACACAATACACGTACAGTGAACAGTGATCACTAAAAAAAACCCTATAAATATTTTGTAGTTTTTAAATGCTTGCGTACCATCTTTTATTGAAATTTTGTAAATATTTGGAAACCATTACTTAAATTGTATACTCCATGCCCAATGTACGGTCGGTCACCACTAATGCTGGCGGCAGAGGTTCGAATAATCAGGCTACCGTCGGTCTGGTTCATTTCAGACAGTACCAGACCGTAATTAGGTTTGGTTACAGGACCCGACTATAGTGATAATGTAGTATAAGGTTTAGTCATCAGTGTTGAGCAGTGAGCTCTGGTTATAAATTAATTATCGTTTATCGTACGTACGTAATTAAATCTCAATAATAATAAAAAAATTCATCTACGAGTAGTTCGACATGTTCGGTATAAACAATTGCTAAAACTATCTAAACTGTTTAAATAATTAACCACAAATTATACCTATAAAAATACTAACAAAAAAAAACTGAATGTTTTCTGCATAAAAAAGTATTCTACCTAATATATTGACCTTATAGGTATAGTGTACCTACCTATATACATATAGGTTTAATTGCATATTTTCTGATAACGCCTGACCCCCCTCCCACATCCTAACGCCTGTTTATAAGATGCTTTACATATAATTAAAGTTGGTCAAATTTCAAATTAACTAAAAGACTAATTATGAATGAAACAATTAGTCAGACGATTATATAAAAAAATGTAGGTATTTTATTTTATCTTTAGACATTATTATTATATATTACGTTCAATCTTAAAGATTTTAGATGTCTTTTCGGGCTTTTTCAAATTTTTTCTTAGTTAATTTACTATTAAATAACATGAGTCATATTTAAACTTAACGACTAACAATAATTATCAATTTTGTTATCACTTTTGTTATAATATTTTTTTTAAATAAAACTCATCTCAAATTAAGAATTTCTAATTTTTTACTATATTGACTATTTCTAATATATCACAAACTGGCAAGGATTGCATTTATTTGCTCATAATATACCTAAATATTACAGCGTATAAGTAAATACGTGTATTTAAAAAAAAGTCTGATAGGGGTAATACCAGTCTGCAGTCAGAACTGATGGCGTAATAACAGTCTAACATAACTTATACGTCGTATGTAATAACCTTACCTAACTAATATTTCCATTAAACATACAATGTCTTTGAACAATATCATTGTACAATAGGTCTGTACTGATAACATAATATTTTGATCATCATTTGTGTGTTTTTTAGGAACTTAAATTTTTCCCTGTCATTTTACATGCGTTTTTTGGTGACTGGTATTACCCCGCTATATGGGTAATGGCGATCACGTGTATCCCACGCTATATTTTTTTTTTATTCAAAACAGCGTTATTATAAAGTTTAAAAAATAATAACTTGTAAATTTCAAGTTTCGCCGTCGCTCAGACGGTAGCCATTATTGCTTTATTGCGAAGTTACCTAAAAATTATTATTCGGTTGGCAACACTGAATACCGACAACCGAGGCCGAGACACGTTTAGCGTCCGACTGTCGTCCAGCGGCACGGGAGACGCGGCGATGGCTCTGTCCACGGACACCTCGTCCTTAAAGAACAGGAACACATAGTTGTCGTTTGTCTTCACGCCGGTTTGCTTGTTGACGCCGTCGTAGACATTGACGAACGTGACCTCGCCGAACCTCTGAAACAGCGTCTTGAGCTGTCCGTACTTGACGAGCACGGGCACGCTGCCGATGAAAATCTGTCGGGGATTGTACTTGAGCGCTTGACCCGACATGAGACGCCGGACTTTGGTGATGTTGTTGATCAGCTTGATCTTGAGCAGCAACTGTTCGTATACCGTGCCCGTGGCCGCGGCCCACTGCTGGACGTCGCGGTAGCCCATGGAAACAGCCGCCGCCGCGGTCATGGGCTCGTCCTGCCGTCGTCGGAATCGGACGACAAGGATTGACAATCGGCGTACCAGAAGACGATTCGGACAGCGTTGCCGACTGCGGTCTGCACGCGTCCCCGCTGTCCGGCCGCAACATCAATATGTCGTTGGTGACGATAATCGTTTTCGAATCGATCACCAGAAAATGAGTGAAGGCGTACCAACGCCGTTGGCCGCGGTGATCGCCCGCTATGCCGTTCAGCGACGCCGTGCCGACCAGCAACACCAACACGTTGTCGCTGTCACCCGGCGAAGTGCCTACGGTGCACTGGCACGTTTCGATGGTGTGCACCCTAAGGGTTTTCCGGTCGAAAGCCAGTTCACGGTAACAGTCCAGTATGGACGGCGGACTGGCGACCGCGCGCCTTTGGCAGTACAACTGAGAGCGTTGGTCGTGGAACGTCGGCAAATTGACAGTTATTGCGAACGTTGCTGAACCGATTTCTTCACATTGAGTGCACGTTATTCATTTGACCGATGAAAATAACATTCTTACCGGTAAAAGGGCAATTTAAACACTACATTTTTTTTTTCATAAACGAATTGAAAGTATAATCTATAAACCATAAAACGTATAATACATGTAAGCCGTTTGACGAAGTCCAGCAAATCCAATTTACACAAATTTAAAAATATATTTATGGACATTTCCACAGTGAAATGTATTATTTATTTGCTAGCTTTTGTGTTTCCCACAACAGTCTCTGGACTTTTAGTTCCAAAGATATTTCAATTCCCGCTTAAGTGGCCGCAATTCCCCCACCTTGCCCTACGCAATAAGAGTATTATTTTATGGTTAAGGGTTGTAAATATACATTTCTTAACTATACAATATTTTCTTTGAATGATAATAACCATTGGTAAATGGTAATGGTTTAAAACATTTTTTATTTACATTAGTTATTTAGTTGACGCTATGCTGAGGAGTTATATATAATAGGCTAGTTATGGAGTTAATTTTAAACGTATTTCCGGTAATATCATGAATGGTCAATACTCAATATTGTTCAATTTTTCTTCAGACGTTGCGTCAGTTCGGCAAATAAGAATTATATTACAGGTACTTGTGGGCGGTGTCGAATATATTTATTATTTAAAGGGAGAAAGGGCTGGATGTGTACTTTTTCAACGTTTTTGGTATCGATAAATTGTCAATTATACTTTCTTTCGTACGTCCTACATAATATTATACACTATAAACAGTTACGTTATAACTTATATTATATTTTGTGCATTAATTGTATATCCGTTGAACGATCGTGCTTTCTCGATAAGAGTCTTCCATTTATAGGTGTACATAACTGACATAAATACATACAACATAATATATAAGTTTTTTTTTTTTTTAATACCGTCAACAAACGTTGTGTGTGTACCTACGAGAAAACTCGAGCGGAACGTGCAACTACAATAATTTGTAATATTACAAATATTTTATACATATATTTATATATATATAATAATAACATGCAAGTAATTGCCGGTGCCGATCGGGGCGCAGACAAACGCGCTGAGAAAAAAAAATGTGTGGCGCTCGCGAATTTTCCCATTCTTATAATAATGTACTTATCATATTGTGTATTATGTATTGCCGTTTTTTATTTTCATTGGCGAAATGCTATACTATCGCACATTGTGCGATCCGCGGCGTCGGCATTATTATTATTACTCATTATACACTTCGCAGGTTTATACACCGTGTATAGACACAGACTACAGACGCACGACACACATAATATGCAACAGTCTAGTTTTTAAATAGTATAATATCATATTAAACCGTACAATATAGTAATAATATTGTCTGTGTATTGCCTATATAGGTACACTGTGTTCGTGTGTAGGAGAGCGGCCTGCGTTGTCGTCTATCACTTCCTTGGCGCCAAATAACGAACCGCGGAAAACCGTGGAAAATCCACACCGACCGAGACGGCGTCTCGACGACTCTAACACGGTCTAGCGTGTGATTCTCTGTCGCTTTCGTTACACGTGCGCCCGTGCACCGTTATAATAGTATAATATATTATAACAATGGTCTTAGGCGACCGCCGTCGATTTTTCACACAATACCGATATTTATCTGGGACAATATCATATATATGGCTATGAGCTATTATCTTTCCTAGATATACTTGCGACATCCGCATACTCTATAATATCCATAATGGTGTGTGTGTGTACACGCGTTCGATTTTCCAGACGTGGTACTGTCGAACTGCTCAGAGTTTGTTCGAGGACAACCCTATGCCAGTTTTCATTATTCAGTACTTTCGACCAACGTATACTGCCGTATTATAAGAAAGTAT